AGGAAGGAAGGAAGGAAGGAAGGAAGGAAGGAAGGAAGAAAAAAGGGGGGGGCGAGAGGTTTAAAAGTGGATCTCTAAAAATGAAAAGAAAACTAAAGTAAAAATTATATCCCTGCGACTCGATGGCACTTAACATCAATAGCAACAACAATATAGAGAGAGCTCCATTGGCCTAATGGACAGAAAGTTATGCTACCAAGCCCAAGGAGGGCGATTTTAATCTGTGGTCCTCAGGCCTGGTTTAAATTGTCTTTTTGTAAAACATTCTTCTAGGTGGTCTAGGACTGGTCTGTGCATTGCTGCACAGAGGTAACTCGTGGTTGCTGTGATGCTAAACATGGTGACACTGATGTGTCAAATGCGAGAATGGTTACACATGGTGGACAGTGTTTGGTGGAGTTTCCCGATTAAAACAAGCTTGGAAGCAGGAGTGGCATCCACTTCCGAAATGGCTTGCCTCTGGAAACTCTATGAACAGTGCTCAGGTCTTAGGTTCATAGGGTCGCTATGAGTCGTCTACGACTTGACGGCACTTAACATCAACAACAATGCATATACTTAAGAATTCTGATTGTAGTAAACATGTATCTTTCTAAATATTTTATAAAAGTTAGAGAATTTCTTTTTCATTTCACAAAAACTACTGAGAATGTAAAATAAATGGAGTGAAATCACAACCAAATTCTCATTAGGTGAAATGCTCAAAGCCAAATTTTCAAAAGAAAAAAAAAGGGGGGGGCCAAATGTATGAGCAATACACACATATATGTATACGGATCACTGTTGTTAGGTGCTATTGACTAGAACTCAGTGTGACCAGCTGCTATTAAGCGGACTAGAACTCAAAGTGACCCAATGACCAACAGATTTGAACTCGACCCTGTCCGGCACCGTCCTTACCATCTCTGAGCCCACTGCTACACTAACTGTGTCAATCCACTTTGTCGAGGGTGTTCCTCTTTCTCTAATCCTCCACTTTCCGAGCCTGATGACTTCCTCTAAGGACTGGACCCTCTTGACAACGTGCTCAAAACACGTGAGGCGAAGTTTCACCACGGTGCCTCTAAGAAGTGCCCTGGCTGCACTTCCTGCCCGACAGACCTGTCTGACCTTTTAGATGCATATACATACACACACATGTACACATGCACACACACAGAGTCAGTCTACACCCCACACAGCGATTTCCTCTGATGCCTCCTCTCACAGTCATGAGCTCCAGAAGTGGTGGCAATACTCTGCCCCTGGCCTGGGCTCCTTCCGGTCTTTCAGGTCAGACAGCCTTCTTCGCTGTGTCATCCCACCCGATGGTGAGAAGTGATGGCAGAAGCCAGGTACTAAGACAGAGGGGAGGGAGCGTGCAGCCCCAGAATGCCACCGCGATCCTCTTCAGGTAGATGATCCAGATAGCCCCCATGCCCTGAGGGGAGTGGCGGGGAGCACTCCTGGGGACCACTGGCCGCGCCCCACCACCCTGCGCTGTAGAGTGGGAGCACTCCTGGGGATCACTAGCCGCGTGGCATCAGCCTGCGCTATAGAGCGGGAGCACTCCTGGGGACTCCTGGCCACGCCCCAACAGCCTGCACTGGAGGGCAGAGCACTCCAAGGGACCACTGGCTGCATCGCACCAGCCTGAGCTGTAGAGCGGGAGCACTCCTGGGGACCACTGGCCATGTCCCACCAGCCTACGCTGGAGGGTGGAGCACTCCTGGGGATCACTGGCCGTGTTGCACCAGCCTGCACTGTAGAGCAGGAGCACTCCTAAGGACCACTGGCCGCGTCCCACCAGCCTTCACTTGAAGGCGGAGCTCACCTGCTTGATCTTGTTGCGGGAGGTGGTGATGCGCTCCGTGATGCTCTGGTACGTGCGGATGGCCGTCGTCAGCTCCGTGTAGTGCTGTACAATCAGTTCGTCCAGGTCACGGTCACACTTCTCATAGGCTTCCTCAAGGCGGCCCTTCTCATTTTCTCGGTCTTCCACGTCATCACTGGTAGATAGAGTCCTGGGAAAGACAGAGCAAGCTGAGTAAAACTTATGAGGCAAAGGAATAAATCACGTGCTAGTCAGTGAACTTGGCCAACTGACTGGAAGAGATCTATATTTGTTCCCATTCCAAAGAAAGGTGACCGAACTGAGTGTGAACTTGGCCAACTGACTGGAAGAGATCTATATTTGTTCCCATTCCAAAGAAAGGTGACCAAACTGAGTGTGGAAACTACAGAACAGTGTCATTGATTTCACATGCAAGCAAGATTCTACTGAAGATTATCCAAAAATGATTAGAACAGCACATCAGCAGAGAATTGCCGGAAGTCCAGGCTGGGTTTAGAAGGGGTCGTGGTACTAGGGATATTGTTGCTGATGTTAGATGGATCTTGACTGAAAGCAGAGAATACCAGAGGAATGTCTATCTGTGTTTCATTGATTATGCAAAGGTATTTGACTGTGTGGATCATAACAAACTGTGGCTGACTCTGAGAAGAATGGGAATCCCAGAACATTTAATTGTGCTAATGTGAAACCTATACTTGCACCAAGAGGCAGTAGTCAGAGCAGAGCAGGGTAACACTGCATGGTTCAAAATTGGGAAGGGTGTACGCCAGGGATGCATCCTGTCTCCATACCTTTTCAACATGTATGCAGAGCAGATTATCCGAGAGGCTGGGCTCTATGAGGAGAATTGTGGCATCAGGATTGGTGGAAGATCTATTAACAATATGCGTTACGCAGATGACACAACCCTGCTTGCTGAAACTGAGGAGGACCTCATGCACTTGCTGCGAAGGGTCAAGGACTGCAGCCTTCAGTATGGACTAAGGTTCAATGTCAAGAAGACAAAGATTCTCGCCACTGGACCAATTGGCAACGTCAGGATGGATGACGAAGAGATTGAGAGTGTTCACAGCTTCCGTTTGCTCGGCTCCACAGTCAACACTCTTAGCACCAGCAGTCAGGAAATCAAAAAGCGTATCGCGATGGGAAAGTCTGCTGTTAGGGACCTCTCTAAGGTTCTCAGGAGCAACAGTGTCTCTCTGGAGACTAAGGTACGCCTGATACAGGCCATGGTATTTGCAATTGCTTGTTATGCATCAGAGAGTTGGACAATGATGGGGAGGACAGAGGAGAGTGGATGCTTTTGAGCTATGGTGCTGGAGAAGGGTGCTGAATGTACCCTGGACTGCCAGGAAAACAAACAGATTCATCTTGGAGAGGATTAAACCAAGCTACTCCTTGGAGGCAAGGATTCTGGGGCTTCGTCTGACATACTTTGGACATGTTGCCAGGAGGAACGGGTCCTTGGAGAGGGACATCATGCTTGGGAGGGTGGAGGGACAGCGCAGGAGGGGAAGACCCTCTATGAGATGGATTGATTCGGTGACTGGGGTAATCGGGATGGGTGTGTCAGAGGCAGTGCAGTTGGCGCAGGATAGAGCAGGGTTTAGGGCTGTTGTGCATAGGGTCGCTCTGAGTCGAAAACGACTCGACGGCACATAACAACAACAGTCAGTGAACAAGCACACTCCCCTTGAACTGACCAGGAAATGAAGCATGTCACTAACAGAAGATATGCGCACACCATACCTGTCCCAGCAGATGGCAGATGTGCCGTCTGCCCAGCCAGGCGCCTCGCCCTCCCTTCGTCCCCTGCCATTAGAAGCTTCTTTACTCAGACGGCAGGTAGTCCTGATGCACCTACATGGGTCCTAGCAATTCCTAGTCATTCCAGTCCTCTTTCCAGTGACAGGCCATGTCTACCCCATGAGGCGTGAAGAACTTCGATGACTGCTTTTCTGTGACAACAGGACCAAAACCCAGAGTCATATTCAGTACCACTGATCCAACTCACAGCATCCTTCAGGATGGAGCAGAACTGCCCCAGGGGTTTTCCAAGGCTGGAATCTTCAGGGAACTAGATGTCTTGAAGAAGCTGGTGAGTCCGAACCACCAATCTTTCACTCACTCACAGCTGGTCGGGTGGCTCCAGCTCACGGGGACCTTCCGGTGGGTTGCTGAGGCTGTAAATCAGGAAGAGGCTGCCTTCTTCCTCTCAAGGAGCTACTGGAGGATTCAAACCACTGGGGACACACCACCTTAGGGTAAGCAGTGCAGCTCCCTATGCAGCACGCCACCAGAGCTCACTGCCAATCCTGCAGCCAGCACTGAACCACACCACCGCCACACTGGTTCCCTTATCTGCTGCTGAACCCTGTCACACAGAGTGGAGGTACCCAAGACATCAGTCACCTTACAACCCCGGAAGATGTCATACTACAGCTTCAGGTCACCCTGCCACGAAAGCACTTGGCCCCATGGGGACACCCAGGGCGTCCTGATAGGGAACACGATCACAAGCCGTTTAAGGCACTTTCTAGTGGTCATCTTTTACATGCCGCTGAAAGCGTACTATCTGATACAGTGATTCACACAGTAGGAACCACCTTCAAAATAGCGCACGTGAATGACCTGAATCCGGTACCAAGCCCCCGTGGCCTAGAAACAAGGCCATATTAATTCTCCAATCTCCTCTAACAGCAATAATCTGAGCTCCACTACAAGGCTGTCTGTGCTCCCCGTTCTTCCAACAGAGCTAACAAGACCGATATGAATCAACAATAACCCGGGAATGAAAGAGATGCTTATGAAAAACCTTTTAATACCTCAGCTGGGCACGTGGGTTACAGATCTTTGTTTCCTCTATTATCTCCCCTGGATAATTTTTTTTTTAATTTAGTGTTATAATCAGTAACAAAGAAACCTTTTCTTCTTATCTGCTGGCTGCAGTAATTTAGAGTTTCATTAAATTCCCTCAGATTTGTCAGCTTATACATTCAGCCTGGTTTATTTCATTTGTCTTTTTTAAAACTTAGGGAGGGGCTATTTGGGGCTCACGATGATGAATGTAATCAATTATAATTCCATCATTAGAACCGCTTTCCAGAGATGGTCTGTCAGCAAATCAATCACCTAAGCACTTCCAGATATGTGCAAGCAAAGTACTGTACAGGAGTCATCTCCCAACTGTCGCTGAGATCCAAGGGTCTTAATTTATGACCCGCGTAATACGGAAAACTCCTTTTTCAATTTAGAGGGAAATTCAGCAGGCCAGTCTTTGACATCAATTGAATTTCCAAAAATAATTTTGCAAAGGTTGCATGTGGCCTCCCCTGCAATAATGAAACCTTGCATATCGTACCAACAGACCAGGCGTAACATGAAAATCAGGACAGAGTCGGAAGAATGAGATGAAGGGAAAGGCAGAACTTGAAAGGACAGCTTAGTGTTTCAGCAAACAACGCATCAAGAGTCACGGGACGTGCGTGACGGTCTGCCATGTCGCAGTTGTATACTGGGGATCGGAACCGAGACTACCTCCAGAACCACCCAGAACCACCCAGGTTCAGAACGGGAATCCCACACAAACGTGTGACCCTCCAAAAGTGCGACGGGGGAGAGAGGGGATGATTATGCTTCAAAGGTAGCTACCTATTCACAGCGTTGGGGAACCACACAGCTTAGCATCCCTTCCTGTGGCTTCTGTGATACATAACTTTGCTCTTTAAATCTGAAACCTTCCAAGCTGCTAATATAAATTAAAGCAAAATCATAAAATGCCTTCAATTTATCAACTGGCCCAAATAACAGCAAAGAGCCCCTGACTTTTCAAAGCTACACTGGATCAGTCTGTCATCTTTACAACTGCTTTGCATGATTTCCCCTCCACTGCCATTCGAGGGAAGCAACCTGCCAAACATTTCACCCTGTTTATGTTAACTAGTAGAATTATCATTAAGGAAAATGCCAGGCCCAGAGAGGACGCCTTTTCTGGCATCAGCTGTCACAAGGAAACACATTATGGAGCATTACAAGCTACTCTAGAAACAGAAAGGGTTACGGAAATGGGGGCTCACGAATAAATTGAGTCTGTAGGGGTTTTC